CATCCTACACAGAACCTGCCCAGCGCGAGTGGGGAGCACCAGGAACTGTCCTGGAGGTGGATGAGTCGCCTCCAACACGTTTGGAAGTGGTGGCTTAGCCAGGGGGGAGCAGGATAATGCCAAGGAGGGAATCCAGCCCTGTGCTGGTGGGGTGGGGATGCTCCAATGTGCTCCTGGGGTCTGGAGCACAGCTCTCTGAGGGGTGGTGGAGGGAGCTGGGGGGGCTCAGCCTGGAGGAAAGGAGGCTCAGGAAGGACCTTCTCACTCTCTACAACTCCCTGACAGGAGAGGGGAGCCAGGTGGGGGTCAGGGTCAGTCCCTTCTCCCCAGGGAACAAGCGACAGGACGAGAGGAAACGGCTCAAGTTGCACCAGCAGAGGTTTAGTTTGGATTTTAGGGAAAATTTCTTCACTGAAAACGTGGTCAAGCTTTGGAACAGGCTGCCCAGGGCAGTGGTGGAATCATCACCCCCTGGAAGTGCTCAAAAAAGGTGTGGATGTGGCATCTGGGGATGTGGTTTAGTGCTGCTGGGTTAACAGCTGGATGTCATGATTTTAGAAGGCTTTTCCAACCTCAATGATCCCATGATTCCATGATCCAGTGTTCCTGGTGCTCACCCACACTGCTGGGGTGTGGATATCCCAGGGACACACTGCTGGGGGAAGGGAGCTTTGGGTCCTTGGCCCTGCACAAGAACCCTTCCCTGCAGGAATTCTCTTGGAATCACAGAATCACTCGGGTTGGGAAGGCCCTCCAAGGTCATCCAGCACAGAGCTCGCCACTAAACCACATCCCCAGTGCCACATCCACACATTTTTGGAACACTTCCAGGGGTGGTGCCTCCACCACTGCCCTGGCCAGCCTGTGCCAATGCCTGACCACCCTTCCAGTGGAAAAATCTTCCCTGATATCCAACCCCTTGAGGCAACTTGAGGCCGTGTCCTCTCGTCCTGTCTTTGGGGTGTTGCAGAACGGGCTCCCATGGAGTGGAACTGTCACACACAGCCTCTNCTCTCGTCCTGTCTTTGGGGTGTTGCAGAACGGGCTCCCATGGAGTGGAACTGTCACACACAGCCTCTGAGTCAGCCTTGGGGCACTTGGAGAACAGGGTGTGCGTGGAGAAGGGGAAATCCAGGAGTCCAGCTGTCCCTCTGGCACTGCAGGTCCCGTGTTACATTCAGCTCCAACTACATGTATGGATAAAAATGGATGTGCCAGTAAAAAAGGTACGGGCATGTCATGGCCAGCAGAGCCCAGAGAAGCACTGGCAGTGTTAGTCCTGCCCAGGGCACACCCCAGTGTCTGCCTGGAGGCACAAAAAACCCCTACTTTTATGGGTCCCTCAGCCTGGCAGGGCTGGCAAGGGTGGCAGCCACATCCCAGCAGAGGAATATGGGGAGAAACACTAAAGCTCCCTCACAGGATGGGGCATGCACAGCCAAAATAGGCTGGACCAGGCAGGGAGGAGTCTGGGAATGGTGGCCTTCCCTTTGCAGAGCACTGGAAGAGGCAGGACACCTTCTGCTCATGGCTCTGGGGGTGCAGAGGGACAGCGGGGCACTGGTGCGGGTCACTACAGGCTCTTGCTGCTGGAGGGCACTGCCCAGCTCAGGAGGATACTGAGGATGCTCCTGAAAAGCCCTTTCCAAACCCAGGGCACCTCCCCAAGTGCTGTGAACATGCAGGTGATGGCTCTGTGGCTCCCCAGGCGCTGTCACACATGCACACACCAGCTCAGCCCCCCACGCCCCTGCCTGAGCCCGGCTGGGAGAAAATGAGGTGAGATGGGGATGGGACAGGCAGGAATCTCTCCAGCTCTCCCCCAGACACCTGGGAATAGATCTGCATGGAGCAGGGCTTCCATTCCACCCCTGGTGCTCAGCAGGACAGACAGACAGACAGCAAATCACAGCTGTCAAGGCTGCTCTAGGGGAGAAGTTTCTGCCCATTCACCTGCCCAGACCCTTCTTCTGACCCTCTGTCCCCACTGCAACTTCTGAGGGGCTCCCAAGCCACACACTCTGGCTGGGGAACATCCTCCCAGTGCCCTGCCTGGCCTCCCCTCTACAGCAGCAATGCCCCATCCATGGTGGAAAAACTCAGGGCAGGATCAGCACCCTGGATTTCCATCGGCTGCTGATGGAACAGTGAGTCACAGGAACCTTCCTCCTCTGTGCCCAGCCTTAAACTGTGCTTAAAGAACTCTGCTGAACTTAAAAAAAACCATGCTAAAAAATGAAACTATGGAGAGCTGGGACAACATCTGGCTGTGGCAGAGCCAGGACAACACATGGTTGTGGCAGAGCTGGGTCGTGCAGCTCCTGCAGCTCCATGTCTGGGCACCAAGAGCTGTGGTCAGTCCCTGAGTCCTCCTCCCCCCAAAACAGGAACACCTGCCCGTGGCAGACCCCAGGAGAGGGCCCAAATTCCTCCCCCCATCCCTGCCCTGTGCTCCCCCACGGGTGGGCTGAGGTTGGGGTGCTGATGGTGAGGGCAGAGGGGAGCAGGGAGGGCTGTACTTACGCAGGGATCTCATTGCCCAGGTGGCTTGAAAACAAAGAAACAGGGACATTGAGAAGGGACAGACAGACAGAGAGACTGACAGACAACAGCTCAGCACGGACACCCTCCCAGGCAGGGTGTTAGGACACAGGGAAGTGAGGGTGTGACGGGCAGATGGGTGAAGTCTCATCCAACACCCTCTCCCAGTTGCCCTGGAGCTGGGAATTAACCAGAGGGACACAGTGGTGAGGAAGGAAGGGCACTGAGCCAGGCCACAGCGGAACCAGAGGGTCCTGAAGGAGAAACATCCAGCCCAGAGGCCGTGCAGGACCTCAGGCAGCAGCTCTGCCCACCCTGAGAGAGCAGCCCCAGGGAGCAGCACGGCCACAGACACCACAGGGTGCACCCCAGCACCCCCAGCACGGGGCTGGGCAGAGCCTGGAGAAGGTCAGACGGGTCCCACAGCAGGGATGGCCCAGCTGTGCTGGCAGAACAACCCCTGTGGCACAAACAGGCAGGGACACAAAGGATGCAGCTCCATCCCACCCCCAGAGCAGGCTGTGCTGACCCAGGTGCCCCACACACAGCCAGACCTGAAGCTGGCCAGGCACTGCTGTTTTGGGGCAAACCCTCTGCCAGCAAGGCAGTTTTAGAGGTGAGGGCTGGAACTGGCTGCTCAGAGCCCCAGTTTGGTTTGCTTCCCTTTGGAATTCCTTGATCCCAGCTCTTCCTCCTGCTGTCAGCCCTATCTCCTCGTCTGGAGCTCAGTTCAGCCCAGCAGCCCAGTTACCTCTTGGTGACAGCGTTGTGGTACTCCATGTATGTCCTGCCATCAAAGGCAATGGCCTCTGCATCCCCAGCAGCCTTCTCGATGATCACTGGGGGTGGGAAAGACAAGAGCTGTCAGGATCCACCCCTGGAGACCAGGAAAATCCCCCTTTACACTGAGCATCCCTAAGAGGATGAAGGCAAGCACCAACCTGCCACCCCCTGGGGCGTGCCAGCCCCGTGGCACTCCAAGCAAGCCCCTGGAGAGGTTTGCTGTGGCTTTGGAGTAGGGAATTTCGGGACCATTTCCCTGTTTTGCAGCCAACAGCCATCAATTGTCAGTCAAATTTAAACTGGAATTTCAGTTTGATGGCTTCAAACTTTATATAATAAAGAGGGAAGGTTTAGATTAGATATTGGAAAGAAATTCTTGGCTGTGAGGGCAGGGAGGCCCTGGCACAGGTTGCCCAGAGAAGCTGTGGCTGCCCCATCCCTGGGAGTGTCCAAGGCCAGGTTGGAGCCACTTTGCCTAGGGGAATGTTCTCCTGCCCATGGAAAATGAGATGATTTTTAAGGTCCCTTCCAACACAAAACATTCCAGGACTCTACGAAGGACGAGATCTCCTGCACTGTCCTGCTGCCACCAGCCACGTCTGGTAGCGTGGGTGAGGGTCCACCCCCAGCCCACCCTGGTCCCTCACCTTTCTCACAGTGGGCCCCGTGGAAGCCCCTCTGGCAGGCACACTCGTAGCTCTCCAGCCTGGGGCTGCAGGTGCCCCCGTTCTGGCAGGGGTTGGGTTTCTGGGTGCAGGGGTGGCCCCGGAAGGGCGAGATCTCGATGGCGCTGCGGATGTTCTGCTCCGTCAGCAGGGGATCCCCCTTGATGGAGATCTGGCACGTGCAGGCAGGAGGAAACACAGCAGTTATGTCATCCAGGAGGTGGGGAGGCCCTGGCACAGGTTTGCCCAGAGAAGCTGTGGCTGCCCCATCCCCTGGGAGTGTCCAAGGCCAGGTTGGAGCAAGCTGGGCTAGTGGGAGGTGTCCCTGCCCGTGGCAAGGGGTGGAATGGGATGGGCTTTAAGGTCCCTTCCAACCCAAACCATTCCATGATTCTATGGTGATCCTCCACCATCCCATCTCTCTGCCATGGGGGGACAGAGGGCAGTGTCCTTGGGGATAAGGGGAGATGGGAACCAGCCCCAAGCCCCACGTGTTCCTCTGACACACCTTTGCCTCCCCTCCTGCCACTTTTCCACCAGGGGTGCTCCCCGTGGGCCCCACAGGCCCACTGCCAGGCTCCTCCTCACTCCCCTCCAGCAGTACCAGGGCAGATGGCACATCTCCCAGCTGGACACTGGGCTGCCCAGCAGGACCTTACCCTCTGCACAGCCCCCTCGAAGCTGGTGGAGATGGCAGCTGCTCGAGCCAGCTTGCTGAAATCAGGGGCTCCTCCAACGTAAAACGGCTCCTTCAGGTTCAGGTAGGTGTGAGGCACCTGAGGAGGAGAGGGGAGATGATGGAGAAGATGTCAGGATATCCCTGGGTGTCCCGTGCAGGCCCAGGAGTTGCCCTTGATGAGCCCTGTGGGTCCCTTCCAGTGTAGGATGTTCTCTGATTCTATGAAAGGGGCCTCCAGGAAACCTCCTCATGCCAAGCTGCGAGGTCCCACCCACCAGCAGGCACCTGGAAAAGGTTCCCTGGGGGTTTAATTTTGGGGAGATGCTGTTCTGATGCTCTCAGGCATGAAGGGGGGGCTCTGGTTTTGCATGACCCCCAAACCAAGTAACCAAAGTCTCTCCGGGGGTGATGTTCAAACCCAAACACATTCCAGAAGGATTCAGCTTGGGTTCTCCTGGCTGCTACAGGTTGCCATGGCTAGAGGAGGTTCTCCTGCATCCCACATGGTGTGTGTTTGGAGGAGAAATCTCCCTCCTTGCTGTCACCCTGTGGTCCCATCTGCCCAGCCTGGAAAATCCCAGGCGAGTCTCCAACCGCAGGGTTCTCCAAGCAGGAATGCTGTCCCTTCCTGGGCACCTGGGATGGAGCCAGGGGCACAGCAGAGATGGAGTTATATGGATCACTAGCTAGTGCTTCGTGGAGTTAAAAAAATGATCAGGTTAATCGAAATGCTTCCAGAACAAAATGCAACAACTGGCTGGGGATGAATGATGGAAGAGGAAAGGAGTGTCTCTAATCTAAAGAGATCCTAAAGCTGCTCGGTCAGATGGGAAGGGGAGGGGGTGAAACACTGGGATCTGGATGGAGAACAACAAAAAAAGAACGAGGTGCCAATGGCAGATGAGATGGAGGTGTGGTGGTTCATACTTATCTTTACCTTACGGGATTTCTGGGATCCAGAGACAGCAGGGGAGGGAAAATTACAAATGGAAATCAAAGGGAGAGAGAAAAAGAGAGAGAGAGAGAGAGAAAAAGGGAGATCAGTGGGTGACATTGCAACATGCAGGGCCACAAGACCCCCGCTGCCACCAGTGCTGGGGTAGCCAGGGAGGGGAAGGGGGGCTGCAGAAGGTGACAGGAGGGTCCCTGCCACCCAGGGGTGAGCTGTGCTGGGAGAGAAGCTTGAGAAGAGCAGAGTGAGGGGAGGAAGAAATCCCTTCTTTTCCAGGAATGCTGTGTAATCCTGGTGCTGCACTTCTAGGTGGATCTTATAGATGAGTTCAGCAGCAATCAGGGCTTTTCCTGCAGTATCAGCTTCCCAGCTGGAAAGGGGGGGTTAAAGGAACCCCAGGGGTCTGCAGACAGAAGTGCAGAGGGACAGGGGACGGGGAGAAGTTGGAGGGGGAAGCTGCCAGCTGGGAAACAGAGAGGAGGCACTGATGGATTCAGCAGCAGCAGTGCCAAGGGGCTTTCCCTGCTCTGTGACCTCCTCCTGGCTGAGCTCTCTGTGCTGGGGGGGCTCTTGAGCCCCCACCATGGAGGGCACAGTCTCAAAGCCACAGGTAGCACAGGTGCCTCACGTGCCTGCCCCGATCCAGGGACAGTCGAGGATCTGAGATAAAGGGTGGGGAGGTGGATGTGTGTGAGGGGGGGGCTCAAAGGCATTCCTGACACCTGGCAGGGGCTCTGCAGCCCTGTGTGCAGGGCACAGGGAGGCAGCAAGGGCTGGGAGAGGTGTGCAGGGAGACAGGCACGCTCTGCCTGCAGCACCCTCTCCTCCCCGGGGCCTGCCCTCTCCTCCTCCACCTCTGAAGCCACGTGTGCCACAGGGATTAAAAACCCAGGAGCCTGGGGAATTCTCAGCTCGTTCCACACGTGACAGGAGCAGGGCTGGAAGCCCAGAGAGCCCCTCCTGAGCCACCAACTCACCGGTGACTCCCCCATCACCCTCTCGCCGTTGTTGATCCTCATGACCCCCTTGCGCCCGTTCCTCTCCAGCAGGACACTCGTCCAGGTGTTGAGGGGAACCGGCTCTTTGCTCCTGGGTGGCGAGAAGGGGGGAGAAGACACACAGGTGAGAGCTCTGCCATCAGCAGAGCGCTGAGAAACCTCCCCTGAGCAGCCCAGGCTGGGCCCCCTCACCTGAGCACGGCTGCCCCCTTGCCCAGGTCGTATCTGTACTCCAGGTACCCGTCGTGCAGGGCCAGGGACACGAAGTCCCCCTTGCCATCTGTCTTCTGGCCGTTGTAGAAGATCATTCCATTGGGGTTCTTGGCCAGGAACACAACTTCCATGGACATTTTCTCCCTGAGGAAAGAAGGGTTATGGATAACCCTCCAACCCAGCAGCCCCTCGTGCTCTCTTCCTCCACCCCCACGCACTGAGCCCTTGGAATAACTCTGCCTGCCCGGGACTAGGAGATTGGCAGAGTGATGCCACCCCTGCAAGGCACCCTGGGTGGGTGAGAGGCACACCTGCTGTGCTCAGGATGCTGCTCTGTGGTGTCTCTTTACCCACCAGGCAGGTGATGCCCTCATGGGCCACCCTCATGCCCCTGGCACTTACTGCAGGTCAGGAACGAAGGTCTGCAGCCCGTTCAGCTCCAGGTAGGAGAAGCCATTGAACTCCGGGAGGAAGGGCATGGTGTGGTCCTGCTCTGTCACTGGGCACAAACGAGGGGATGGTGAGGGAGAGGAGGCAGAGCAGCTTCAGCCAGTGCCCCGGGCTGGGCACGCTGAGCTCCGTCCACCCCCTGCCCCAGCCCCGCTCCTCCGCCGGCTCCCGTCCCACCTCGCTCGCAGAAGTCTCCTTCCCGGCCCATGGGGCAGGCACACAGGGCACCCCCCTCGGGCAGCACCAGGCAGGTGGCAGAGACGTGGCAGGGCGAGGGCTCGCAGGGGTTCCTCTCGTC